GGGTGGGTCACGAGGTCAGGAGATAGAGACCACAGTGAAATCCCGTCTCTACTAAAAATACAAAAAATTAGCCAGGTGTGGTGGCGGGCACCTGTAGTCCCAGCTACTAGGGAGGCTGAGGCAGGAGAATGTCATGAACCCGGGAGGCAGAGCTTGCAGTCAGCCAAGATGGCACTTCTGCACTCCAGCCTAGGTGACAGAGCGAGACTCTGTCTCAAAAAAAATAAAAAAATAAAAAATAAATAAAAATAATAAAAAAAATTCTACTTAAGTCCTTTTGACATGTCTCAATGTCTTCATAAAGATTTCCACTTCATTTTGGAGTATAACTGTTGTGTGGGAGCCCTCCTGTGCTTTGCATCAATGAACATCTTAAAGCAACTATGTGACATGGGAGCTCTCTGCCTGACACAGGTTCTGACAGACTGACTTTGTATTGGTTTTCTAACCTTCCTGACATATTTGGTTGTAGGTAACATCAGTTGCCATTTGTTGGGACCTCCTCATTAGGTATGGTCTCCTTGGAGTCATCCATATAGCAGAACGAAGACAAAGAGGGACTAGTTTAGGGTGTAAATCCTAGAGGCTTTATTGACCTCTTTTTGTGTATTTACATAAAGGAAATACGGTTTATGTCCTGAAGTGCAACTTATGGTAAAAAGCTTTTACAAAATTTTAGAGGAACTAAATCTTTCCTCACAAAATCACCATTTATAAACCTTCTGCATTAATTGGTTCAGGCTGTTATAACAACTTACCGCAGGCTAGATGACTTAAAGAATAAACATTTATCTATCACAGTTCTGGAGGCTGGCAAGAGTCAAGGAAGCTGCCAGGTCAATTGTTCAGTGAGGGTCTGCTGAGTGTTGACATAAAGAAGATCCATAAACTCTATTACATCATGGAGAATACTAAAACATCTTAATCTAAGCACACCCTAATCACAAACAAAGATAATCAAGGATGTTATGTTAGTTACAAGTTTTTGGTTTCAAGGAGCAGAGACCCACCTTTATTGCTCAATCAATGGAGGTTTTGTGCTAAGGATACATATAAAATCAGGATAAAGAAATTTTACTGAAATAAGAAAATAAGGAATACTTGAGTTTTATGATAGCACTAATGCAGAACTGGAGGGTGATTCAACATCAAAGTCATCACAAATTCATTTGACTCCATGTTCTTACTTAAGTCCTCTCTGTTCCTCTTCCCATTGCTCTTGAACCTTACCTTCCTGGGTTAAACCACACATAGTCATCATATATTACTGGATTTGATTTGCTAAAATTTGAGTAGCATATCTATTTTTGCATATTTATTCATGAAAAATATTGGTACGTAATGTTCTTTTATGTTAATATTTTTGTCTGGTTTTGATATCTGTATAATTCTGCTAATACATCACGACCAGGTAGTAATTATCTTGGATGTAATGTTGTTTTAACATTCAAAAATGTATCAGATGAATTCACCATATTACAAACTGAAAAGAACAAACCAAATCAACACTTTAATTGATGAGAAAAAGCATTTGAAAAAATCCAACATTCATTCCTGACAATATGTCAGCAAAGTAGGAATGGCAGGTAACTTTCTCAACCTGATAAAGTTCAGATATAAAAGATATACAACTAATACCATGTTTAATAGTGAAAGAATGCTTTTCCCCAAGATTAGGAAAAATACAAAGGTGTCTGGTCTCATCAATTTTGTTTAACATTAAAATAGAGGCTCTAGCCAGTGCAATAAGATAAAGAAAAAGAAATTAAAACTAAAGGCACTCATGTCACAAAGAATTAAGTAAAACTTTATTCAAACATTTTATAAAACATTTAATGTAATATATAAAATGATATTAGAACCTGTGAGTTTGACAAACTTACAGAAGATTAGTATAAAAATCAGTTATATTTCTATATACTAGCAACCAATAATCAAAAATTAAAAAGTGTACCATATGTAGTCACAGAAAAATATGAAGTTATTAAGGAAAAATCTGATAAAATGCCAAAAAAATCTGTGCACTGAAAACTACCTAAAATTGTGGAGAGATATTACTGAAGGTCTAAGTATACTGAGACTCATACTATACTCATGGGTCTTTAGTCCTAGTTTTTGTTTTGTTTCATTTTGTTTGGCAGAAAATGAAAAAAAAATTTCTAAAATTCACAGGGAAATGCAGTAATCTAGAGAAGCCAAAACATCTTTGAAATAGAAGAACGAAGTGGGAGGACTAACACTATCTGATATGAAGACTTACTATAACGTGATTTTAATCAAGGCAAAGTATTTGTACAAATATTAGAACTAGATCAATGGAATAAAATAGAGATTCCAAAAATAGAGCTACACATATATGGACAGTGATATTTTTTAAAAGGTGTAAAAGCAGTTCAAATGAGAAAGAGTCATATTTTCATTAGATGATGTTGGAATAATCAAATAATATGCAAAAGATAAAGCAAGGCAAAACACGTGAAAATGTCATCGTAACATAAAAGTAAATCAATGTCAATTCATTATTTGAACTTAACAAAAAATGGATATTAGACCTACATATAAAATTTAAAACTATACGATTTTTAGAAGAGAACACAGGATTCTCTGGGCTAGGATTTACTAGATATAACAGCAAAAGCATGGCCTATAATAAAGTCAGAATTCACCAAAATTAAAAATTCTGCTTTTCATGAGATGCTGTTAAGAGAATAAAAAGGCAAAGTACAGTATAGGAAAAAACATTTGCAAAGCATGTATATAGCAATGACTATGTCTTCAGAATATATAAAGAACTTGTAAAACTCAACAATAAAGAAAATAAACAACCAATGTAAAAATAGGCAAAAGATTTGAATAGATTCTTCACCAAAGAACATATACTGGTATTAAATAAACATGTTAAAAAGACACTCAACATCATTGGTTATTTGGGAAATACAAATTAAAATCACAATGAGATAGTATTATACACTAAGTGCTGGCTAGGTTATTGAAGATCTAGAATTTCCATTCACTCCGTTATGAATGTAAAATGGTATAACCACTTTAGAAAATAGCTTGGCAATTTCTTAAACAGGTAAACATAAACTTACCTATTCCATTCCTAGGTTTTTAGTTAACTAAAGCATTGTTCCTATGAAAACCTTTACATGAATGTTCATATCATTTCTATTTGTGATATAATAGCTGAAGACTGGAAACAATCCAAATGTCCATGAGCAGATTAATAGATAAGCTGTTGTATATTCGTGAACTAGAATACTAGTCAACAATAAAAAGAAATTTATGCTACACCGTATATGTAACTGTTAGTAAAATAATTATGCTGAGTGAAAGAAGCCATTGAAAATAGGATACAATGTATGATTCTTCTATCTCCACAAAATACTAAGAAATGAAAATTAACAGACATTGGTAAAAAGCAGACCATTGATTGCCTTCTATGGGAGGAAGGTGGACAGAAGTCAGAGAGAGATTACAAAGGCACGAGGAGACTTCTGGAGGTGATAGATTTATTCAATATTTATTTTTTCAACTTTCATTTTAAGTTCAGAGGTACACGTGCAGGATGTGCAGGTTTGTCACATAGGTAAATGTGTGCCATGGTGGTTTGCTGCACAATATCTTGATTGTGATGACTTAATGGGCATAAAATATGTTTATATACATATATGTATATATATCATAACATCAAATTGTACACATTAAAATGTGCAAAATTTGTGTCGAGCCTGTCTCAATAATTCTGTTTTAAAACAAAGCAAAACAGAAAACTCCACCATAAGCACCATTATCTATGTACCTGGACATTTTGTTCCAGGCCACCTCATAGGTGTCACTGGTTGTAAGAATTGGTTAGCACCAGGTCAAGGGCTCCCTGATGAATTTATCAGCTGTGGGTAGAGTATAGTGATGTATCCATCAGTTGTAAGCTTAAAAACTTGTATTTAAGTAATTGTCTTAGACTGAAGGGAATTGTTGGTTTCCAAGCATTCTGAGGCTGGACATATGTAGTACGCCATCTAATATAAGAGAAAAATGGAGATGTTACCAAGAATAGGGATAAAATAAGCTAGGCAACTCGGAGACATTCTTTGCCATCTGTTGTCCTTTAGGCTGGTTGATGTGTCTGGTTCAACTGTGACCCTTTCAAACTTCTCCAGCACATCTAGTACTCTTGTAGTTTGAAGTTTCACAATCCACATTCCAAAAAAATTAGATGTTGCTTAGACTTTGGATTTTGGTTTGAAATATGATGCTACACTTTATCCGCCACACTTTAACATCTGGCTAAGGCTACTAATTAATGCTCAAGGAAATTTGTAATTGTTCAGTAGGGGAAAAAGAATGTAAGTTAACCACAAAGCCCCTCACGATTGGAGAGTGAAGAGATGCCCATGTTTCATTGCTATGTAATACTCAGATGTAAGCTCTCTCTGCCTTACACAATTTAGTTGTTCTCTCCTAAAAATGTTACTCAGATTAAATAGTTATGTATTTATGAAATCTAGATGTTTAGTGGGCAGATGTTAAGACAGTTGCAGAAGAGGAGAATAAGAGTTAAAACAACTGTAAAGTAGATCTCTGACATGGTTCCATCAACACGTATTTGTTAAGCATTTTCTTTGTGCCAGGCATTATATTGGAACAGCATAAACAGTAGTGAACAAAAATTAGCCTGTTTCTTTTCTTCATAGAAATTATAGCACAGGAAATGTGTACAATTAGATGTGTAGTTCATTCCAAACTCCCGCTCCTAGATCTTTTTTTCTCTTTCCCATATGATGTGATTTGGCTGTGTCCCCACCCAAATCTCATCTTGAATTCCCACGTGTTGTGGAAGGGGCCCAGTGAGAGGTGACTGAATCATGGGGGCTAGTCTCTCCCATGCTTTTCTGGTGATGGTTAAGTCTCATGAGATCTAATGGTTTTAAAAACGGAATTTCCCTGAACAAGCTCTCTTCTCTTGTCTGCCGCCATGTGAAGTGTACCTTCCACCTTCTGCCGTGATTGTGAGACCTCCCCAGCCACGTGGAACTGTAAGTTCAATATACCTATTTCTTTTGTAAATTGCCCAGTCTCTGATTTGTCTTTATCAGCACTGTGAACATGGGCTACTACACCATGAAAATTATTTTCATTCAGTGAATATGTACTTACATTATTAACGTTATGGAGCGTCTACAAATGAGAAGATTTGGTATAAGATCTTTTTGAAAGTAAGCTTCTCCTTCTCCTCCTTGTCCTTTTCCCTTCTCCTTCACTTTCCTTTATCATTTCCTACTTTTAATTTTGAAGTAATTTCAGGGGTACAAAAATGTTGCAAGATTAGAGCAAAGCATTCTTATATGCTATACCCAAACCCAGATTTTCCAAATGTTAACTTTTACCTCTCTTGCTTGCTTTATAATTCTCACTTTTCCTCCCTTCTTCTCCCTCTCCTCTTTTCCTTCCTATTTCTCTCTTCCAACCCCAGCCTCTCCATAGATATGGTTACAAATGTAGGTATAAGTATAGATGCAAATATAACTGTAGTTATATATTTTTTTCCTGAAACACTTGAGAGTAAGTTAGAAACGTGATACTCTTTACATCTAAATATATTAGTGTACATTTTATGTCACTTAACCACATTACAATGAACAAAATCAGGAAACAAACATTAATAACACTAGAACTTAATAACCCTAACTTAGAAACCATATTCAGATTCAGCCATTTATACCACTAATATTCTAAACCAATCCATGATCCCATGTTGCATATAGTTCTCATATCTTTTTATCTTCCTTTACTCTAGAACAGAGACTCAGTTTTTCTTTGACTTTATGACAGATACTTTTTTTTTTAAAGAATATAGACCAGTTATTTTGAACAATATTCTTCAGTTTGGGTTTGTCTGATGTTTCCTTATTAGATTTAAGTTATGTATTTTTGGCAGGAGTGATGGGTTTTTCTCAGTGCAGCATGATGTCTTTAGCGAAACAGTAATTTAACTGTCCATTTGGTAAACGGGGTGTCTGCCAATTTTCTTTAATGTAAAGTTACCATTTTTGTCTTTGTAATGAATAACTTTGTAATGAATAACTTGTGAGCTATTTTGAGATTATATAATCATCCTGTTTCTCACTATACTTTTATGCAATAATTCTTTGATGAGTCTTGTCTGAAATAATTATTACTAGCATGGCTTCCAAATAGTGATTTTTCTATTTCTATAATTCGTTCTGCCTTTATTAGTGGAATTTTATTGTAAAGAAGTTTTACTTTCTACCCTGCTAAACTTCTTTTCTGAGGTCTCTGCATTCATCTGTCTGTCCATCCTTCTCTCTACTTTATTTTTTTATTTATCCATTGCCTCATTTCATATAGTACTAAATGTGTAGTCTTATTTCATTTCTCTGACTTAATTAGATTTTTATAAAAGACTCCCCTAGTGATGTTCCTGCTAACCACATTATTTATGTAAGTATCATTAAATGTGCCTACTACTGCTTTCTATAGAGCCGATGAGTAATTTATATCAGAAAACATGATAAAAGTCCATTCTTTAAAATCCATTAGAGACTTGTTTATGAGGGAGATTCAAGCTTTCTAAAGACCTTCATCAGATGAGTCTGCATATGTTCAAGAACATATGTTTGGACTGTCTATGCTCCTCCCCTAACCTCCTTGTCAAGATGATCCCCAGTTGGATTGCTGACTGAAACTGTAAAGATTACTTACTATAGATTTGATATTTCTATCAAGTTTGGTTGAGTGTCTGACTCAAGTCTCACTCTCTATATTTATTTCAAATATAAGTTTTCTTATGTCTTCTTATGATCTCTCTAACACCTGTCCATGGTCTGATCAGATTTGAACTTTCCAGATTTGAGATTTTAGTGACAGATACAAATTTTATGGAATTAAAAATAATGTAATCAGAGATACCATTTATTCAGTGCTTAATATGTATCCCAGGTACTTTACATATAATATTTAAAAATCTCATAAAACCCTATAAGATCAACGTGTATATCTTAATTTTTAAAAAGTCTTTGGCCTCGTGTTCAGAGAAGCTAAATAATTGGACTGAGCTCAAAGCTAACAAGTAGAAGGGCTGGCATTCAAATACAGGTTTATCCTGATGGAAAAGGCCATTTTTCCCTTTGCATTAAGCATTGATAATTATCTGTTAACAGTGATAAATATACACAGGAATAATCATGATAGTATATGAAATTATTAAGAATAAAAACTGTAGGGATTCTGAGGCAGAAAAATGAAGTTCTCTTCTTTCTAAAGTGCTGCAGAGTACTCAAATTGCAAGCGTTTATTTATTTGATTTGGCTTTATTTGTTTGGTTCCACTTCTTGCTTTCCTCCTTTGCAGAATCAGTATACTTAAAAATCTACATACATGCTCAAAAAATTATGTTGAAGCCTTAAAATCCATAAATGCCATAATAATGATAATGTTGCTTTATCCCCATGAAGATTTATACCTAGCATCAAGATTTATACCTAGCACCAAGCTTATACATAGCTATAAGTTGAACATATGAAATTAAACTTTTTGTTTCCAACAGCAGGTGGTGGTACAGGGTTATTCTATCAAGTTTTAGGACTTAATTACAGATACTACTGTGTTGTTGAAAGTGATATGGAACATGTACTTTGATTTTGGAAGCCTTTATATTACCTTATTATTTACTTTATAAAATGATAACGTCTTTGAAAAAATTATATACTCATAAATCATTTTAGAAGAAATAAAATGATTAGATACATACAAAATACATACCCTTTAAATCATTTTAACAGTTTAGAACTTCATATAATTATGTAAATAATTTTGATACATATTTTTGATAATATGATTTAATCTTGAGAATTAAATATTTATATCAAATATACTCTAAATTTATAATTATTAGACAAATAATAGTGCTAAATGGAGGGACTAAACAACTCTTTGTTATTTAGTAAAAGAATGGACAAAACATGTTTATTTTCACTTCTTTAATTAATTTCTAGATGTTACAATGATTATCTTTAATCACTTTCTGCTAAACCTACAATGTACTATGCATTTTCTATTACCCATCTATCCATGTTCCTATTCAACTATCTTCAACATTCAATGTCACTAAGTAATTTATTTTGAATGTTGGCTACATTTTTAGCTCTTAATTGGTTTAAGTCAAACTTAGAGACGGTAGTATCTTCCAGAATCTTTGATCCAGGGTTGGGTTTCATTGGATGATGGGTTTCATTGGATGATAAGGAAAGAGTCTATTTCACTCTTTTAAAAGCCATCGCTCTTACTAGTGAAATACTATTTGGATGTTGTAGTCCTCTAGGCCGTGATGATAATTGTGATGTTAAATTAGTTGAGTCAGTTTTTCAGAGGTCCCAGGTCACACAATGCAAATGTAATATTTAAAACCTCAAATGATTCACAGACAATACTAGGCAGCAGATGGCATCTCTAAAGATTTTAATGACTGTTTGCAGAGCCTGCTTTATGGCAGATGGAATGGAGGAGTGGAGAGACAGGTGGCTGGGAACTGTTGGAATGAGGTAGAGTCAGGTGGTTGGCAGGAATTAGGGGGTCGTCTGGAAGGAACAGAGGTTAAAAAGAAATAGAGTGAGTTGGCAATATAATTAAAAGTGCTGTATATCAGAGTCTACCACATGGAGATGTAGAGACTGTTTACATTTTATTTTGGGCCCAAACTATATGACTTCAGCATTCTTTATTGTAGCCTCTTGGAATTGGAACTGAAGTTTAATGTCAACTATTCTAAATGACCAGCCATATCAATGGCAAGGTCAATAAGGAGTAAGAGTAATACTTCGCTGTATATCAGAGTCTACAACACGGAGATGTAGAGACTGTTTACATTTTATTTTGGGCCCAAACTATATGACTTCAGCATTCTTTATTGTAGCCTCTTGGAATTGGAACTGAAGTTTAATGTCAACTATTCTAAATGACCAGCCATATCAATGGCAAGGTCAATAAGGAGTAAGAGTAATACTTCCAAATATCTGCTTACAGGGTCACTTTCAAACAAAGTGCTTAACCAGCTTTCGGTCCTTGAGCACAGGGGAACAAGGTCGTGAAAACAAGGTCTTGGTGAGGTGCAGCCATTTCATCCATCCTCGGTCTGCGCCTTTCGCAGAGCTTCCAGCAGCGCTATGTTGGGCCACAGCATCCGGAGGTTCACAACCTCTGTGGTCCGTAGGAGCCACTATGAGGAGGGCCCTGGGAAGAATTTGCCATTTTCAGTGGAAAACAAGTGGGCGTTACTAGTTAAGATGTGTTTGTACTTTGGATCTGCATTTGCTGCACCCTTCCTTATAGTAAGACACCAACTGCTTAAACAATAAGGATGTTTCAGTTCGTCCATTTACCAGATATGGAGAGCATTTTAAGAGATACAGCCTCTGGAAATGGATCAAACTCTAACTCATGGCATGCTAGATATGTTTGTCAATAAACTTATGACATGAATGCTTAATGCCTCTTTTTTGAAATAGGGAATGTAATACTTGGCCATTTGCCTACTTTATTAATTTGGGTAACATTCCTGTATTACTCTGAGATTTAGCTTATTTAATGGTGTTAAACTGAGGTTATATTATTAAATTTTTGATTCTCAGGTCAGGATTTTGTTGGTAATTTATGCAATGAAAGGGAAATACAAATCAAAAAAAAAAGAAAGTGCTTAACCAAACTGAGCCTTCTACCCTACCCGGAATCCCCTGCAGCTGCCATCATTTCAGAATAGAAAGCCACCCGACATAACAGAAAAAAACTTCAGCTTATCTTAAAATGAAGAACAACAATAGCAGATAGATTCTGAAGCTCTCTTAAACTTTAAAAAAATTGCCTTGTATTTGATGTTCAGTGTGTGATCTAAAGACAGGAATCACACACACACACACACACACACACGTATTCATTCTGATAGTTACAAACTAGACTACTGAAACAGAAGCTCCTTCGTGTGGAAACTTGGGGATGACATTTAATAGAATCCCTCCATACA